CATTTTTTAAGCACATTTTAAATATTATTTACTTCTCAAAATTTTATGAAGTAGGCATTGTTATTAGGTAGAATCCTTCTTCCTTTTTTTTTTTTACATACAAGAAGAAAATGAAATTAAGTAACTTGCCCAAGGTCATGCAGCTGATAAGGAGTGCAGTCAGTATTCACTTCCAGGCAGTTTGGCTCCAGGGTCTATTTTCTTAAAATCTTTACTTTGCAGACTCTGCTCCCTCTTTCTGTATTGGCTTTACAACCACACCCAGGAGGTTACTTGTCTCATTTGAATCTGGTCCTATCTCTTTTACACCTCAGTAGTCCTGGGCTTCTCGTTCGGATATAAAATAAGAGAAGAGCGTATATCTGAAGACATGTATGTCTGTCAGTGTGTGTCTGTACACCTGATGAAACAGCCATTTTATTTGTGTGTGTGCATGTATTTCCCCACCCATCCTGTTCTTTGGCCACTAGAAAAGGTTACAGTCCTGGCCCTAAGGGAAGGTAGCAAGAATTGATTAAGCCACCATTGTGCCAAAATTGTAAATGATCTCATTAAAGGATTAATTTGCATGTTTATTATGTGCCAGGTTTTGTGCACAATTACTTTCTGTGTATTCATTTAATACTCTTGACAACTTTGCAAGGTACGTTGTCCTCATTTTATACATGAAATTGAGGCTCAGAAAAATCAAGTAACTTTCCCAAGATCACTTTATTAGTAAGTCAGAATTCACAATCAGATCTGCCTGTCTGTGTTCTCTGCTAGCTCTTACTAGTTTATACTTATCTCAGATAAATAGGAAAAATACGGGCTCGTATCAACTGTGGTATGTGTGTGTGTGTTTACAAGTGTGTGCCTGTGCATGTGATTGCAAATGCATATAAAATGTCTGAAAGGATACATTCCAATCTTTAACAGTGTTTCTGGGAAGTAGAACTTGGTGAAGGAATTCTATATTCCTCTGTAATTTTTGGATTTAAAAAAGTAATAGTTGCAAAGGGAAGCAACAGTACAAAATAGTGACTGAGAGCATAAGGTGAGGCTCTTACAGTACATGATATGATATAAGGGCTGGAAGGAGGGAAATAGTGTACTGAGATGAATGAAGAGAACTTTAGGAGAGGATGTGAGATTCGAATCAAGCTGCAGAGATTGGATAGGGTTTCATTAAGGGCAGAAGGCAAGACCAAGGACATAGAACATGACTGGTTTTGAGCCAGGCTTGAGAGTTTGGGAATTCATCCAGTAAGTAGTGGGGAGTCATAGATGATGACCTCAGAGATGGGAGGGGGGGGATGTATTATGACAAAGGCACATTTGCATTGTGTGCTGCTTAGTCTTCACTTCCATGCACATCATTGATAAAGAACACTCCTCCATGAGAGTGATGGTAGATTTGGGGGTATTGGGCTTGCCAAGGCTCTCGGAGAAACCAATATTAAAATGCAGATGTGCTTTTAAGGTAAGAGAGATTATTATGCTAATTATATGCCTGACATATGCAATGGGATAGTGATCCTGGATAGGTGATCAATAACTGTATGTTTGTGACCAGGAAGGCAGGATTATAAAAAATAAACTTGGGAAGTCTTTTGGAGACACAGGTTCAAAGAAGAACTAAGACGTGCTAGTGAAAGGATCTTGTATTCAGACCATGAGATAAAAGCAAAATCAGGCAAAGGAAAGCAAAAAGGAACCTCGGATATACACAGAATAGAATGAAATTGATTTTCATAAAGCTGAGTAAAGATTTGAAACATCATATAACAGAAATGATATTCTATGGGCAGAGCCAAAGCTTCAGCTGCTTTATCTGAAAATAGAGACACTTTGACTTAAAACCAAGGAAGGAGAGTAGCAAATAGGAAAACGACATTTTTCAGGTATCAGAAGATTGAAAAAAAGGAACATGAATGGCTGTTTAATCGTTTGAACCCATGCTAGGTTAACTGAGTAACATGAAAGCACATATTCTGAATTGCCCTATTTCGTATTTGTACCCCAATACTTTCTCTCTCTAGAACAAACTCATCAGACCATGTTTCAAGCCACCATCATCTCTCCCCTGGATTATTGTCATAGTATCTCTCCCTGCTTCCATTTTTCCTCATTGTCATTAACACAGCAGCTAGTGCTATGCTTTTATACTAAATGTAAGTAAAAATTTGTTACACCTCTGTCCAAAACCTCCAATGGCTTTTCACATCTCTTAGAGTACAAGCAGAGAGATTGCAACAGCCTTTCATGATGTGCTCCCAACCTCTTTGACTTCATTTCTTATCACTTTCTCTTTTACTTTTTCTGTTTCAGCCACCTTGTTCAACTAGCTGTTCCTGGAAGAATCCAGGCATGTTCCTGTCTCCAAGAATTTGCACTTGCTGTTCTCTAGGCACAGAACAATCTTTCTCCAGATAGCGCGTGACTTGCTCCTCACTTCCTTCAGGTCTCTGGTCAAATATTACTTTATGAACCAGGCCCTTCCTGACTACTACACATAAAATAGCAACCTTTCTTCACCTTTACTCTATATCGCTTTTACCTTTATTTTCTTTACAGCATTTATCACCACTTGACATTTAATTATTATCAGTCTCCTGTGGCCCCTTTTCCTTGTCCTGTCCCCTTCTTCCCCCCACCTAGAAATAGTGGTAGCAGTTGAGATTATATAAACCCTGAAGTCAGATTTACTGGGTGTGAAGTGTAGCTTCACTACTTACTAGGTCTGGAGCCTTTGACGAGTGACTTAAACTCTGTATCTCAATTTTCTCATCTGTAATACGGGAGTAACAAAGTACCTGGCTCATGGCTGTTGTGAGGATTAAATGGGTTAATACATATAAAGCATCCAGAACAGTGTGTGGCACATTAAAAGCGCTATAAAGGTCAGCTCCAGGGCTGGCCAGTTAGCTCAGTTGGTTAGAGCACAGTGATATAACACCAAGGTCAAGGGTTTGGATCCCCTACTGGCCAACTGCCCCCCCCCCAAAAAAGTCAGCTCGTATTAATAGTGTTATTAGAATGTAAATCGGATGAGACTAGGGACTCTGTTTTGTTTGCAGCTATATCCTCAGTGCCTAGAACACTACTTGGAATATGATAGACTCCGAATAAATATTTGCTAAATGAATGAATGGTACATAAAAAGTTCTTACAGAAAAAGATAATGTGGTTGTCACAGTGGTGGTGAGTCAACACCAAAAAACTTGGGGGAAAAAACATGAACTTGAGGATACTACCTTTGGAAGAAAAATTTTCTCTGTTCTTCCTGGGATGGTATTTACAGAAGTCAAACAAACCAAAATATCAGAAATTTGTGGAGGGGATTATGTTTGCAGGTTACTCAAAAGGACGCTGTCCTACCCTGGTAGTTTTTTCCCTCTTGATAAATATAACCAATAATGACAATATAAATTTAACTTTTCTTCTAGTTGTATGTGATCAGTGTTCACTTGTGATTTAAATATCCTGTCCTTAGTTATTTGATTTTGCGATAAATATTAACACCTAAGAATAGTGTTTTTACACTGAATTACAATAATTTTAATTAAAATTAAAACAAAAATATTTTTAATCTACAGGTCATGATCCATTTGTGAGTCATAAAATCCATGTGGTAGGTTGTGGCCAGGATTTTGTTTTGTTTTAATGAAATAGGATTAAAAAATAGTATGTCATATATAATAAGGATACATAATTTTTTGTGAACTTATTATTTCAGTTATTTTGTGTGTGTATCTCATGCCTGTGTTTTCTGTGTCATAATATAAAATAATTCTTACTGAGAGTTCTGGTCAAAAATGGTTTATAGCATCTGCCCAAAAAAATGGTGCTTAGAAATCACTAGGTCCCATAATTATTTTTCTTTCAGAAAATTGCCTTTATGAAATTATTATTCTGGTCAAGATTATTCAAAAGGTTCAAGTGGTCATAGATATTTGTCTCTATTAGCAGTGATTTTATTTTATATCAAATTGCCCACTCTCCACCCTCAAAGGGCTTCAAAGAGAAACAATTTCCAAGAAATTAAACAGTAAGAAGGAGCTCAAACTCTACCCCCCATTTTAAAGGATTAGAACTAATATTTCCTTCATTTCTCTTTTCTAAGAACACTGCAGTCAGCTCCTTTCTGACTCTTTTGCCTTAGTGCTTAGATCATTAGGATATTCATTTAATCTTTCCATGACATTTATAAGAAAAATAACAATAGTGGTCATTTATAATACCTTAGAGTTTACCAAGCTGCCAGCTTCTTTGTGCTCTTTATCCATGATTTCATCTTTATATCAACCTAGAAATATAGACAGTGTTGGTTTCAGGATTCCCATTTTTACAGATTGAGGAGACTCAGGCTCAAAATATAAAGCCCAAGACTGTCTCACTCCCTGATCTTCCACACTTAAAAACATTGATCTCTTTCCTCCACACCTCACCTGACTGGAGGGACCCTGCCTCTCCTCCCCAAGTGCATTTCTTTCACTTCTCATTGTGTATGTCTTCTTTACTTTCCCTCCTTCCTTCATTTTATCTCCCTTTTCTCCTTGGTTCTTAGTGTCATCTGTGACCAGTTGGGCCCAAAGTGCTTATTTATATCCATTCAACTAAAAATGTACTAATAGTGAGTCAAGTGTCTTGCTGTTCAAATGGAAGCCCAGTCTTCTAAAGCTGATTTGAGCTATTTCACGTAGGATGATCGAAATGGTCCCTTCCTTCAGTAAACTGGGAGTTTTTTTTTTTTTTTTTTTTTTTCTGTTTTTCTTCCCATATTACCTGTGTCAGTATTTGCATAGCTCCCATTATTAATCATATACTCAGCATTCTTTCTTCATGAGACAAAGTGATTGATTTTTATTACGTATATTCCCAGTGCCTCCTTGTTATTAGGTTTTCTGCATTTTTATATTGTTTTCTCTGCAAATTATTTTTTAGATCTTGGGATTTCCAGAGGAAAAGATTAAGGGGGAATTATCAAGAATAGTTCTTTTTCTGAATAGTTAAACAAAATGGCCACAGCCTTGGCCCTTCTGACTGCAAAGAGGCAGGAAGAACTTCTGGAAATGAAGGTAAAGGAAGAAGAGAAGGACCATGCCTCTGGGCAAGAATCTGGCCTGTCAAGAAATAATCCTCATACTAGAGAGATCTTTCGTAGACGCTTCAGGCAGTTCTGCTATCAGGAGACCCCTGGGCCCCGGGAGGCTCTTCAAAGACTTCAAGAGCTCTGCCGTCAGTGGCTGAGACCAGACATGCACACCACAGAGCAGATCCTGGAGCTGCTGGTGCTGGAGCAGTTCCTGACCATCCTGCCTGAGGAGCTCCAGACCTGGGTGCGGGAGTACCGCCCTGCAAGTGGAGAGGAAGTGGTCACTGTGCTGGAGGATTTGGAAAGAGAGCTGGATGAACCAGGAGTGCAGGTGGGAAGATGGGAGAACAGGGGTTTGTACCTATAGGAACAGGTACGGGGTTTCAGTGCAACAAGAGGAAGAATAGGAGGATTTCTTTTTGCCTGACTTGATCCATCGTAGACTTTTAATTTCTCTGCCTTAGTTTTTTCTCTGCTAGCTTTTTGGTCCTTTGCAAGAAGGCCTCCTTGCAATGTCCTCTCTGATATTTGGTTCCAAACTGTCCTTAATTTCCACCAGGTCCCAACCCATGCTCACGAACAGGAAGAGTTTGTAAAGGAGAAGGCAACTCTAGGAGCAGCTCAGGAATCTTCAAGTTGCCAGTTCCAAACATTGGAAGAGCAGCTTCAGTGTAATGTGCAAGAAGTGTGCCCAGCTCAGGAGACTGGTGAGGATTCTGATTTCTTCAGGGAGCCTACCTCATTTCTGGAATGTTCATCAATTCAGCACATTTATTAGTGTCTGCTCTATGTCAGGCACTGTGCCAGGTACTGGGGATACCTGGCAGATATGGTCCCTGCTCTCATGAAGTTTACAGTCTGGTGGGAGAGGCAGACAAACAAGCAGTTACAATAGAGTGCATCTTCTCCCTGATGCCTGGATATAATTGTTTTAGAGTGGGAAAGTAGACGGAAAAAATGGTTACTTGTCCCCTTTTACTCACTGTCCTGGCTACTTTTTTCTTTTGTCTTTGGATTAATGTTACCTTTCATATTTCATGTTATCTTTCATATTATTATTTCAGATGGTGAGGCTGGGACTTGGAATGTGGAATTAGTCCCCAAGAGGAAGATTTCTAAAGAAATGAAATCTCTTGTAGAAGTACCTGGAAAACTGAATGGTGATGTTATTCAGGTCCCTGAATATGGAGACACCTTTGACCATGGGAGCAGATTGGAAAGGCCACGGGTAAGCTCTTCAGCAGAAAGACCCTATGTCTGTGGTGAATGTGGAAAAAGCTTTACCCAGAATTCCATCCTTATCGAGCACCAGAGAACGCACACGGGGGAGAAGCCCTATGAATGTGAGGAGTGTGGGCGGGCCTTCGGCCAGCGGTCAGGCCTATTCCAGCACCAGAGACTCCACACCGGGGAGAAGCGCTACCAGTGCAGTGTTTGTGGCAAAGCCTTCAGCCAGAATGCAGGGCTTTTCCATCACCTCAGAATCCATACAGGAGAAAACCTTACCAGTGCAATCAGTGCAGTAAAAGTTTTAGTCGACGTTCTGTCCTCATTAAGCATCAGAGAATTCACACTGGAGAGAGACCTTATGAATGTGAAGAATGTGGCAAGAACTTCATTTACCATTGCAACCTCATCCAGCATCGGAAAGTCCACCCTGTGGCTGAATCAAGCTAGCTCCTTGAAACAGGTAGGGCAAAATTCCCTGACATTAGATCACTAGGCAAGGTAGCAAAGGTATTTACATGTTTCTTACATTGTCTCTGAGAGAACAGTAACAGTCTAACCCTCTGGCATAGAAAGTTCCAGGGAAAGCCAGTGAAATGCCCTTATGCTGAGAAGCATAATAATATCTTAAATTTGTCTGTCAAGTCCTGTGTGGTCAGTGACATCCACAACTTTAATACTGAATATTGCTCTTTGTGTTGATTTTATCATAATAGTATATACTGTAGACCTAGTTTCACATACATTTGTGCAAGAATTTTTCAAGGTGTACTTTATCCTAGTTTTTAAGAACTTTTTAATAAACGTTTTAAAAACAATTACATGAAGCCTGAGTACAAAATAAGGTCAAAGACAGTTTACCGACTATTTAAAAATAATTGTAACAGGGCTGGCTGGTTTTACTCAGTAGGTTAGTATAGGGATCCCCATACTGGCCAGCCACCAATAAATAAATAAGTAATAAATAATCGTAGTAAAATCTGTAATGTAAACTATCTGACTTCTTTCCATTCACATAAAATATGATAATTTGTTTTTTAACCTACAAAAGGGGACAGGTGAATCCTCTCACATAAATGTACAAAAGCTTCTCCCTATAGATTTTTAGTAACTCATCTTTTAGTCAGGAACCAAGGAATTGATGTAGCCATCTGTTATAAGCAGCTCAATGCTAGTCATAACAGATATTGTTCATAATTTTAAATTTCTGCAGAGACCAAGAAACTTAGCTAAAAATGTATCTCTCTTCAGATTTTTGATTTGAAAATTTAGGTCTTTTTGCATTTTTCTTGTGACATATAATGATCATTTTCAGTGTTTGCTTTTTTCTTCTTTATTTAATCTTTGGTATGGAAAATTGTAAACATAAGCAAGAGTAGAGAAGAATATGATCATTCTTCCATGTTGATTGCTTTTTATAACCTCCATACTTCTCAGCATTCCCTATTGATTACCACAAAGGTCATACAAAAATTTCTTTCCTTTAACACTGAAGAATGGTTTACAAAGCTTTATACGTATAGGTGCAGGAGACAAAGAAATAGAAAACCTATGGTGATAACAATCTGGTTTGGAAGACCAAATTATACAGCAGATAACTTAATAATGGAATCTCTGCACGTGACCTTAGAGATCACTTCTGCCTTCCCTTATTTGACGGATAGGGAAAAGGAGGTTCTGGGAAGTAACTGACTAAGATCACACAGCCAGTTAATAGTAAAGCTGGAAGCAGAACCCTGTCTCCTAATTCCTAGTGCAGTGCTTTCTACTAAGCTGCTGGAAGCATTATATCACCAAATAGAAATTACAAGTGTGTGTCACCAAATAAAAATTACAAGTGTGTGGAACTTATCAGATATATAAGTCATTGAGGTTTTGCTTTATAGCTGAACAAACCATCCCATCTATATGTGTCAATAAGTGCACAATTCTCCTATTTAATTTATAGAGCAGTCCAGGAAAGACACCTCCCACTTACCCCTCATTTGAAGCATTTTGTTTATTTTTGTAGTGATCGTTTAACTTTTAAAATTGAATTTACTTAGTGGGACCTTTTAAAAATGATGTTCATTCTTCACCTGGTTTAAAAATCAAAACAATGTTGGGCACGCCGCTTGGGAAGTGCGGTGGCGCTCCCGCCGAGGATTCGGATCCCACGTGCAGACCGGCCGCTCACTGGCTGAGCGAGGTGCAGGCCCAACACCGAGGGTTGCGGTCCCGTTGCCAGTCCTGGTCCGGTGCGGGCGCGACACTGAGGGTTGCAATCCGTTGCCGGTCACGAAAAAAGACAAAAAGGGAAAAAAAAAAAAAAAATCAAAACAATGTTAAAAAGTCTCCATGTTTCCCCTTATAGATAGCCATTTTACTAGTTTCTTATATATCTTTCACTGTTCTTTACGTAAACATAAGAAAATATGAAAATATAATCTTATTTCCTCCATTACACAGAAAGATAGCATATTATGTATACTCTTCTACACCTTACTGTTTTCATGAAAGAATATAGTTTTTAGAGATTTCCACATCATAACAAGGAGAACTGCCTTATTCTTTTTATGAACAAATAGTACTTCATGTGTTGTTTTCCCATAGTTTATTTAACAAACTCCTGTAGTTGAAAAATCATTATTTTAAAATGTTGTGTAATTCTGTTTCATTCTTCTCCCCAGTTTAGTCCAATTCAAGTTCCCTGTATTCAAAAGGTAACAGCTTCCATACAAGCTAGGAAACAAGGTTTGGGCAACTAGAATTGCATGTAATTCCTTTACATAGAAATGAAGAAGTGATAGGTGGTGCTTTTCATTTTAGTGTCTTTAGTTCTATCATATATTCTTAGACCTACGTTTCCAACTGTTTGTGTCACTACTATGGCTAAGTGTAAGTACTTATCAAAAATCTTAAATTTCCTCAAAAGTATATTCTATTGCTTCTTGAGGTTAAATTTTTTCCGAGAGAAAAACATATGGATTTTAGAATGAAGTTAAGGAAAATATAGTAGACTTAAATTTGAAATAAAAACAACTTCTCAAATAAATATGTATCCATAAAATGATATAATACATATACTATAATATTCTGAGTTCATAAGTATCTTAAATGCCTTTCCATATGTGGAAGCAGCATGTTTGGATACTTCTGTTACATCAGATCTTAAAAGATTTAAAATATGAATGGGTCAGGCTTTTAAAGGATGTGTTTTTAATGGAGTGAGTTTTTACACCTACAGCTGAATGTTGGATGTTTTGTTTGTTCTGTGCTTATTTTTTTAGTTTCTCAAAAATTTTTGTTTTTCTCAACAACTGGAAAAATACTAAGAAACAAAAGGTGTTATATATGCTGTAGAGATAGATGTACCACTTAGAATGCAATGTTTACTTAACATGATTAAAATGACTGGCATTTCACCAAACCAACTTCCCTTGTTTTCTGATACTAATTGTGCTAATTCTCTTATGCTAATTCTTTTATCTAGGATGCACATTCCTACTAATTGAGAAATAATATTTAACTTAAGTGTTAAACAATGGCATGTAGACCTTGATGCTTTTATGATTATTCCAGTTCTTCCTGGCCAGAGGTTCTTAATTGTTTCCCTTTCACATTTCTAAATTTCCCACATTTCTCCCTTTTTTTTCCCACCCTGGTTTTTTTTTATTTTTTTTTTCTTTTTGTCTTTTTTCGTGACCGGCAACGGATCGCAACGGCCGGTCCGTATGTGGGATCCGAACCCTCGGCGGGAGCGCCGCCACACTCCCAAGCAGTGCACTGTAGCAGTGCGCCACCGGGCCGGCCCCACCCTGGTTTGTTTTATTCAACCCATGAAGTTTCTAGCTTTGGTCACCTGTCTGTAAGGTGCTCCCTGGACCATTATCCACCTCTTCCTATCCACTTAAAAGTCCTGTCTGAAAGAGCAGAGTAGTCGAAGTTCTATGGCTGAGCAAGGTATGGAAAATAAGCTTTGGTCACCTGTCTGTAAGGTGCTCCCTGGACCATTATCCACCTCTTCCTATCCACTTAAAAAGTCCTGTCTGAAAGAGCAGAGTAGTCGAAGTTCTATGGCTGAGCAAGGTATGGAAAATATTGATTCAAATCCAATTCAATAACCTTATTGGTTCTTGAGGATAGTCCAGCACCCCTTTGAGCACTGTTCAGGATGTGGACACTGTGTATCAAGAAATGGCTGAGAATCTTGCAAGCAAGACCTGCCTACAGCTATAGATAGAGCCCTGAAGCCTGTCTTTCACTATAATTTTTATTTCAAGGTCAGGACTCCAGGATTATCAAGTCTCTGTCTATATTTTATATTTGGAAATGACTCCTATTTCCTGTATCTAAGATACTTTTCCTTTTAAAAACATAATTATAATTTATAGTGGAAAATTGTTTTATATTTTTCTAGTAAGGCAAAAATTACCTCTGAGGAAATTCTAAAATAAAAGTATATCTAAAGTCATACTTCTTATAAAATATGAAATGTTTTCTGTAGAGAAATTTTTAATGTAAAATATATATACTAGTATACTTTTGTCATTGGTTAAATGTTGAGCTAGTATTTGAGAGAAAAGTAGATTCTCTGCAGAGGGAGGCGGAGGGTAGAGGAAAGTGTTTTAGGCAGAGGGAATGAGGTAAGCAAGGCCCATCCAAGATATGCTCAAGGACCAGGAGTTTTCCAGTTTGGCCGGATCACAGAGTTCCTGCAAAGTACAAGAGTGGGAGATGGCACGCAGGAGCCAGACTGAGAGGGCCTTGAACACTTTCGTAATGAGTTTAGTCTTTTGTAAGACAAAATGAGCTTTAAAAAGAGATTTCTGGAGTTTAACCCATTTCATACCTACATGAGAAAAGTGAAGCCCAAAGTGCTTAAGCACTTGTAGTGATTTCTATTTTTTAAAATATTTTTATGAGTATTTTTATATTTATACAATGGATTTCTATTTTTTATCCCATTAAAATCTTAAAAACAAAACCAACTATGAACAAAGACCATTGTGAATTATATGCACTTTCATAGACACTTAGACTTAGAGCCCTGAGACACATTTTAGATATCTGCAAAGAATAGCAGCAACAAAATGGGATGGGAAGAGAAAAAGGAAGAACAAAATATGAGAACATAAAAAGGAATCAGACAGAAGGCAAAAGTAGATGCTAAAACTCTGAATTAGGCCAATAAATGGTGAACAAACAGAAGGAAAAATAAATAGATGCAGAGACAGTGTTACTGAAAAACATGCTTCATCTTCATATTACTTATTAGAAATCTCTCTGTCTCAACTGGCCCAAGTTTTTAGGTTCTGCTATCTTAAGCAGTGAAAATAGTCTCACTGCCCTTCACTCCTCACCCTTTTCAGTACTTCCATAAAAAGAAGAATAAGGAAAAGAGCTATACATCAATTTGGACCTACCCCCACTTTTCTATGCCAATTGCCTGTTGTGCAGTGACAGAAGGTCTATTTCTCAATGTATATATTGCATTGGAAGCACCTGAGTTACTTCAAGTGCACTTCTTGGGCCCCACCCCAGACCTACTGAACCAGTTTCTGAGGCAGGACCTGGGAATCTGCATTTTAGGTAGCATATCAATGGTTCTCAGACATAAGGTAACTATATAATTTATTGTCCAATCGGGGATACTTTTGAGGATGAAAGGGAGTGCTGTTAATAATTACACCCAGACAATAGACATAAACCTGGATGGATGGTCCTAGTGACTTTTGCAATAGGCAGTATTTTTTCAACTGAGATAGAAGATGAGACAGAATCAGAAAGAACATAACATTCTTTCATGGAAGCTAAGGCAGATCATATATGAAGGACGCTATTGGAGTCTTAGGTGTAACCACATAGACCAAAGTAGCCACCACCTACCTTCTTGGTTTGAAGTAATCCCCAATAACAGATCTATTGGATTAGGTAAGAAAGGGTGGGGCAGTATTTCTATTAAAAAAGAAAAAACAAAAAAACCCCGGACCTCCCCCCAAATAAAACAAGCCCACTGTTAATATAGCTAGTTACCTATGATGAACCTATTGAGTGAATGGTTTACCAGACAAAGTGGATGACATTCTGGAAGCACAGGAGCGTTTCAGTGATGTAGGGACCGATGGAGTAGTATAGAGTGTTCCACCTCGTGTCGCAGAGGAAAGTGGTAAGATAAGGCACTGGATCAGAAGCTTGCAGGAATAAGGCAGAGAGTGAGCCATTTTAACGCGATAGCAGGACGAATGGAAGCCAGACATTGTGCCAAATAGTTTAATAAATTATCACATTTAATCCACATAATTCATTGGCTGTGGACCCAGAGCCCTCTTTCCACCGCATGATGCCGAACACAAACTGCTACCGCTGGCCCTGCCGCCGTGTTCAGCAGTTGCCTGAAGATCATTCACTGCGGGGATGGGGGTGGCCTCCCTTCATCCCCACTGCATCCTCTCAGTTTTCTGCTAATTCAGTATAGAAGGATGTGTAGTCAGGGATCCATAAGCCCCAAACTTGCTAGTGGTGAAGTTACTCGGAGGGACCAGATTTGTTTATTTAAACAAAGATTTCAAACAGTGGAGAGCAAGCCAACATCTGCTCCTCTTGCAGCCGCTTTCCTCAGATGAGTGTTGATTATTGCTTCCGGCCCTTGGGGCAGCGCTGCCAGGGGCGTTAAGGGTAACTGGACAATTAGTGTACTACATTTATGACAGATCCAGGGGACCTTTTTTTTTTTTTTTTTTTTTTTGAACAAACAGTGGAGAGCAAGCCAACATCTGCTCCTCTTGCAGCCGCTTTCCTCAGATGAGTGTTGATTATTGCTTCCGGCCCTTGGGGCAGCGCTGCCAGGGGCGTTAAGGGTAACTGGACAATTAGTGTACTACATTTTTGACAGATCCAGGGGACCTTTTTTTTTTTTTTTTTTTTTAAAACAGTAGAGAGCAGGCCAACATCTGCTCCTCTTGCGGCCACTTTCCTCAGATGAGTGTTGATTATTGCTTCCGGCCCTTGGGGCAGCGCTGCCAGGGGCGTTAAGGGTAACTGGACAATTAGTGTACTACATTTATGACAGATCCAGGGGACCTTTTTTTTTTTTTTTTTTGCTTTGAAAACCCTCCGTCTTCTGAGAGACGTGACGAGGGCTGGGGGGAGGAGCAGCTCTGAGTGCTCCTGTGCCTAGACTCCACATACCCCATCCCAGGGCCTGGTTGGGCTGCGAAGGTGCCAGTTTGGGCCGAATTGAGGAATCTCCCTGAAGGCTCGAGGGAAAGACCCTCGAGGACCGGGGCGCCTAGAGAACGTAGGGCCTGGCAGGATCCGGTGAGAGTGGTTAGGTGTCTTCAGCTGGGGATAGAGAAATCAGCCTCGACTAAGTGGCTGCTTAACACGAAAGGTTACGAGCCCTGATCGCTCACACTGCCTGAGCTGTTTTGAGGAGGTTTCTGAGTTTGCGAAGGCCGGGAGATGGTGGGCGCAGATCAACCACTGAGGTGAGGGGTCCTCCAAATTCCTAGAGAGGCGGGTGAGGAGGCGGCCAAGGCGCATTGGAGCATTGTGATGTACTCCCGGTCTCATGTGGATTGTGACCTGGTATCCTCTTTTCCTTAGGTTAGTGTCCGCTTCTTAGTACTCCACTCCACTCCGACTCCAATTGGGAGTAGACGGGAGTGCGGCTCCCTCTCCTCAATGAGGGTGTTTTATACCTACGCGGAGATTACGGTACTTGGAGGTGAGGGTGTTGTCCCTTTTCCCAGGCCTGGCTCGAGTTCCCGTCCTTTTCATAGACTCCTCAGGATCTGGATTTCCTATTTAGTGTCATTGCTTCCAGATGTTTCGGAGATGCAGAGAACTGAACACAAGCGCTGTACAGAGCTGGGTCTCTACGGACCACCCGCTTCTCAGATGGGGACATAGACTTACCAGTGGGGAGTCCTGTCTAGGTCTTTTGGCTGGTCATTATGGCTAAAGAAGTTTTCCTTATACCTTTCCTGAATCCTACGGCCGTTTTACCTGAAGAGTTTTTACAGTGTTTAAAAAAATCTCCTGTAGGTAGGTCATGATATTGCATACTTGTACTGTAAAGGCTTAGCATTTTTTAAAAAGTACTTTACCATAACATGAGCCTCGCAATTTTGCAAAACAAAGGGAAGTGCTACATAAATTTCGGTGGGTAAGAAAACATTAAGTAACACATTCTTCAAGCAGACACTTATTGAGTGCCAAGTACGTGCCAGGCTCTGTGTCATAAAAATGGGAATCAGATGAAAGGGGCATTCCCGACCTTATGGTGTAATAGAGAAGACAGATAAGTTATTACAATGTAGTGTGATACGTGCTTTGAGGAAAATAAAATTCATCCATAGGAGGGAGTTTGTAGATGGGGAGGTAGAGATAGTTTACCTGAGTAGGCAATAGCAGAGCTGTCTCTGTGGACTATTAAGAGTTGAATAGCAGAGAAGAAATGGACCTTGGATAGATTCAGTATGTGACAGAGGGATCAGAAAACTGCAAGTAGATGAAGGTGGGAGTGGTGGAGCTGGGCAAGGAGGAAGAGTAAAAGTAACAAATACACCAAGGAATTTATGCTTTATAGGGCAGTGTGCTTTTCCATATTTTAATGTGGAACAAAAAAATGTTTGTATGCAAACTGCTAAATAGAAGAGAGTACTCCAAAAGCTTCAGCCTACCTGCCCACCCCAGTAGCTGAGAAGATCGGTGTGCTGGCTATAATCCATTAGAGTAGCCTGGTGAACTGTGGCATTGCACAATAGATGGGCAGGTGTATGCTGCAAAGTGGGGAGCCTCTATCTGGGTTTAAGCAGGGGAGTAATGTAATCTTAGTAGGCTTCTAGAAATATCCTAGAAGCAGTGTGGTGAATGAATTGGAAGGGGGCAAGACTGAAAACCAGAGAGTCAAGAGACTTGGAGTTGTCAAAGAAAGTAGCAAAACCGTAAGTTGGTGATAGTAAGGCAGTAGCTATGAAAATAAATAGGGTCCAGAATGGGACTATGTTAAAGATTAAAGAGGTAGATTTAACTGGCTTGATAATTAGATTGATGAAAATGAGAAAGAAAAAGAAGTGCTAAGAGCACTGCCTATCACATATTAAGTACTACAGAGTGTTTTTTGGTTATGAGAAAGAAATGATGAGTAGTTTTTGGTGGTGTTGGCTTGAAAATACCCATAAGACATGCAAGTGAAAGTTTAATACGCTACTGCATTAAAAGGGTCTAGAGCACCAAAGGAAGATTGGGATGAGAGAATCACATTTAAGAGTTCTCAGGTGATGACTGATGCCATAGAATGGATGAAAATGCCCAGTATGAATGTGGGATGAGGTGGCTGGATCTCAATTTAGGATAACCAGACATTTCTTGGCAGACAGAAGAACCATGAAGTAAACTTAAAAAGAGCCATTAGAAACATTTATTTAACAAGCACTTACACAGTTCTTCCTGAGTGGCAAGTATTGATCTAAGCACTTTACAAAAACCAACTCACAGCAAAACAACCAGATGAGTGTAATGTTTCTTAGAAGACTGAGAGTGGTTAGCAGTGTTAGGTGCTACAGGGGTATCTCGTAAAAAAAAAAAAAAAAGACTGAAAAATACCCACTGGCTTTGTGTACCAGGGAGACCTTGGTTATTTAACTTGGGATCCATAATTGAAAGGTGAGACCCCCTAACTGACATACACACTATTTTCTAAAATGAGAAATGCCTTTGAAAGCATCTAGCACAGTTCTTGGCAAAGAGAAGTTGATTTATGTGTTAATTGACTAAATCTTTGATATGCAATATAAGTGGGCAAAGCCGTTTGCATTACTCTTTGCAACTATTTTCTTCATCTGAATATTTCACTGAAGTTTCTGTATCAAAAAGCTAATAGAGTCTTATTCTTTAATTCTAAAGTAACTGAAATGTCTTTTAATTTTATGCCATTTTTCTTATGCCATTTTTTTGCTTGTTTTATGTTTTGCAGTGTTTCTTTACCTTCAAATTGCCTTGATCACAGCCATTTACTCTGAATAAATATGTTCTCAGTTTGCAGTAGATCTCTGTAAACAATGTTGGGTTATGTCTTAGCATCAGCCTGAAGCACACCTACTGCTACAGTGAGCCACTCTTCTGAGCTGTGTTTCACCCAGAAATGGATTCAGTCCAGCCCTTCTGGGCTACACAAGAAATGTCAGATAGTTAAAGAATCTAGCCTGCACAGAAAGTGAGCTTCTGACCAGGAGTACTGCAGACAGAACTTCAGGCAGTTCTGCTGTGTGTATTTACTTGGGCCTCAAAAGTCCAGCTCCAGGCTCTTTGTCATCTGTGGCTGAGACCAGAGATACAGAGCAAGGAGCACATCGTGGAACTACTGATACTGGAGCAGTTCCTGACCATCCTACCTGAGAACTCTAGGCCTGAGTTCAGGAGCAGCCCAGAATAGAGGGAGGAAGCTGTTACTGTACTGGAGAACTTAGAGAGGATGATCCAGGAGGAAAGGTAAGATAAAGAAGAAATGGTCTATTATGAGACAGCAGGTATTATCTCCAAAGAGTTGACATCTCCTCTTAAGTGTAATCAGAGGGAAATGGCTAACATGTATTGGCCAGTTATTTTGTTTTTTTTAACTTATTGGCTCTGTGTATTTTCCCCTCTCTCTCTTTTTATCCCATGCTCTTGTAGGTTAAGGGAAACTCTGCTTTCTTTCCTCCTATTCTGTGTTCTACAGTACTACTGGGAGTTTAAACTCTAGAATTCTCAGTAAATATTACCCTCTTCAAACTGTATCTAATTGTCCCCAGGTCTCATCCCTCCTACAGGGATAGAAAGTACCCCAAGAGCAAATGGCTTATCTGGCAGCAGCATAGGACCCATCTGGGGTTCAGCTCTAGTCTGTAAAGGATCAGCTCAGTTCTGAATCTTTGGAGATGCACCCTGTTCAGGAGAAAGATGAGGATATTGCGATGACAAAAAGTTAGGAAATGCTTCTGTCTTTTTAAATTTTTCCAAATGAAACTCCTCACTACAATCTGTGCCCCTGTTTCATTTGATCTCTAATGCCTGTTCCACTTTTAACCTGTTCCTCTAAGCATATCGTTTTAACCTTAATTATAATTATTTTTATTCTTTCACTTCTTTGCATTAAAATTATTGAAAAATCCTGCTACTCTCTCATCATATCATGTGGACTGTTCAGTTTCTCCATTCTGCTTTAATACTACCAATTTCCCTGACACTAACCTCTTATCCCAAAGGCAGGAGAATGTTTTTCTACATTGACACCAACGTAGAAACCTACTGTAGAAAACTACTGAAAGTTTACATGCAATAGAGAATTTTACAAATATACATTTTTTTTTTTTTTTTTTATTATTATTTTTTTCTTTTTTAAAAAGATGACCGGTAAGGGGATCTTAGCCCTTGACTTAGTGGTGTCAGCACCACGCTCAGCCAGTGAGCAACCAGCCATCCCTACATGGGATCCGAACCCGTGGCCTTGGTGTTATCAGCACCGCACTCTCCCGAGTGAGCCACGGGCCGGCCCCAAATATACATTTTTAAAAAATGAGTATAAGAAACATAAAACTTTAGTTAGTAGGTACCTCCTTATTGGAAAAGCACACATACATACCCAAATGTAATTATACTGTACATATTGTTTACCACTTGTTTTTAATTTAATATTACATTGTGGATATCATTTCAAATCAGTTACATGTAATACATCTAGCTGACATGCATTTCACTATATGGGTATCAAGTTATTTTTAACTATCTCTAGAGAGTTTTTCATTACGTCTTTTACTCTTTGTTTTGTTTTGTTTTTCCTTTTTGTCTTTTCTCGTGACCGGTAACAGGATCGCAACCCTCGGTGTAGCGCCCGCACCGGGCTCAACCAGTGAGCGGACCGGTGTCTATATGGGATCCAAACCCTCGGTGGGAGCGCTGCCGCACTCCCAAGCACCGCACTCTACCGAATGCACCACTGGGCCAGCCCATTGTTTTGTTTTTTGTATATACTACCAATTAAAAACCATAAACTCTTTTACCATTGTTTTCCTTTTTATTCTGAAAAAAAAATTAAGCTTATGTAAAAATAGAATTATATAAGTCCCCATGAACCTGTCCACCCAGCTTCAACATTACCAGATCATGGTCAATCTTGCTTCATTTATAACTCTACTCATTTCCCATATTTTGTCATATGATTTTGAAGCGTATCTCAGATATATTTTTAAACTTGTAAATATTTCAATATTTGCTCTAAGAGATATGAATTCTTAGGGGCATATCTCAATGATAGGGATTTTTAAAAATGTAAACATAATGCTATTTTCACACCTACAAAATTAACAATAATTCCTAAATATCAATTTTCCAGTTGTCTCAAAAATGTCATAAATTTTTTCTGTTTTGGTTTTTAACTTATTTGAATCAAGATCCAAGGAAGAAAACATATTGTGATCGGTTATATCTCTTAAGTTGCTTTTAATATAGAGGTCTCCCTCTCCTTTTTTGTAAGGTCTCCCTTACAACTCACTTGTTAAAGAAAATCAGGTCGTTTGTCTTGTAGAGTTTCCTGCAGTCTGGGTTTTGCTATTTGATCTTGTGCTGTAGTTTAACATGTTCTCTTGTGCTCTGTTTTCTGTAAATTGTAGTAAATCTACAGGCTAGTTCAAAATCAAGTTTAAGTTTTTTTGGGAAGACAAGTTTAATTATTTTGGCAAGGTGGTGTTTTCTACTAGAAGGTCTGGTTGTCTCTTTTTCTGTGATGTTAGCAGCTCTTGATCCTCAGCCAGTAATCCATTAGGGGTCCCCAAAATAGTGATATTCTAATTCTGTCCTTTTTTCTTCATTTAATAAAGTTGGAATATTTATATAAAGAGATACTTCCCTTGATTTTCTATCTGATTACCCAATTATTTGTATAGGAAAGACAGAATAATTGCTTAACTCACTCCCCATTGCCTTGTTTTTTTTTTAATGGGTTTCTAAAACAATGAATTAGTTTGCTGTCATCCTCTAAAACAGTAGCCAATTGTTATTAGTAACAATTAGTATCAGGAACTCATGGATTTAAGCTTATTTGAGATTTTTTAATCCTTTAAATTTACTATTGTTATTGAAGCTCATTTGCCTCATCTTTGACCCTTTTCAGTTTGGCTCCTGAATTTTTATGGCCTGACCCTCATCATCTTTAATAGTTTTCTTGCTGAATGGTACGGCCATGTTCACCGTACCCAGTCCTAGAATCAGTCATTTTTCCTAGGACCCCTGAGTCTGTTTAGTGGGAAATGGTATGTCAAGACCAAAAGTAAGGCACCAGGAGTGTTCATTCCTAGGCCTTTTCAGTGCTCAGAGTTAAAAAAAATTTAAGATAAATTATGTATCATGGGTTCACACAGTTGCTTATCTTTCATCTGTATCTCCTTTTGGAGGATTCTCAAACACATCAGAATGATAGCATATCAAATAATTAACTCATTTGTTTTATCCCATAATACATACACAATAGCCTCAGCAGCATCATCAACAAATATGATTACTGTAAACAGCTTAATGGTGGTAGGTCTGGATGCTCTTATTCTTTTCGTCCTTAAGGCATATCTCACTGGGGATATACAAAAAAAATAAAAATAAAATTACTGCTTTAAGGACATTTGAAATAATTACTGTTCTTGTAAAATAGTTTTAAAAATAAAGAATGTATTCCTTTTTTATATGGTTACACCACTGATGGATGTTTTATTTCTTTTCCAATTTGTTTTATTTCTTTTCCAATTTGTTTTATTTCTTTTCCAGTGTTTGGAGATTTTTTAAATTTTCATTTTCTTTAATTACTGTACCTAAAATGTAAAATCTTAAATGTTAAATCTACTAAGATATTTTCAAAGAAGTCCTATTTTTGTTTCCTCCTTCCTATTTCCTCCCTTCCCCATAGGTATCCTTTCCTTGCTTTTTTATGGATTATCCTTTCATTATTTGTTATTTTAATACAAGCATACATATATACACACACACAAACACATGCATAACTCTCCCTTTTTTGAATGATAGCCAAGTATAATTTAAAAGTCAAACTCAATATACATCTGTTTTATGTGAAACGTTTTGTTCTGTTATCTGTTTTTTCCAGTGTTTAGTTCTAATAAGTGCTTATTTAATTAGCAAGTGATTGAGTAAAGTTTGTGTGAATGAGTGAATTTTGCTGAAATTTTTGGTCTCTTCTTTCAGCTTGATCAAAATGGGGAGTGTGAAGGTGCTTCCAAAGCAGAAGAAATCTGAGCAAATAACATGCCAACAGGAAAATACTGTCAGATTTGATGGAACTATTCCTCAGAATTTTGCATAGAAGTCCAAAGATATAAGGGAAGACTAGAAAAATATTCAGAAAATACCACAGTGATGAAGGTGGAATGAGTTTCACTCAGAACTCTGTCCTTATTCAGTATCAGAGACTCACACTGGTGAGAAATCATATGAAGTGATAAACGTGGAAAAACCTTTACTCAAGAGCACATGCTTCATGGAAAACAAGAGAATTCCAGTAACAGCCAGCCACCAAAAAAAAGGGGGGGAAATCACACTGAAGTTAGACCCACAAATGTGAGCCTATGGGAAAACTTCAGTGTAAATGTTGGACTCACTCATTGTAAGAGAATCCACACTGGACACAGACCCTACAATAAATGTGATACATGTGGTAAAGCCTTTGGTCAGTAGCCAGCCCTTAATGAGAACCAGAATCTTCATACTGGAGAGAAGTGTTACCAGTATAACAAGTGTGGTGAAGCTCTCAGTCATAACACAGAGCTTTTTCATCATATCAGAGTCCCTACCGGAAGCAAACCGTTTTAGTGTAATCTTTATTTTGTAACTTGAACAATGTTACATTTAACAAAGTTATATTTAATTTTGTCAGAAAAAGCATTTATTTAACACCTGTTATATGCTAGGTACTTAAAAAAATGGTCTCTTCCCGTAACTCATAAAGTTAGAGTTTATAATGTAGTAATTATTCGTCAGTTTTGGAGCGATTTTTCTCCCCTTCCTCCTTGCTTCCAGCTACTTATACAGTTCTATAGGGCCACTTTTAACTGTTGCTCACAATTGCCAATTTCTTAGATTCTTTGGTTTCTATTATGATCTTGGAAATCTGGATTGTTCATTTCGATAGAAAGAATAATGGTCCCCCAAAAGAATAATCCTCATCCCGTCTCTGGAACCTGGGAATGTTACCTTATATTGTAAAAGGGATTTTCAGATGTGATTAAGTTAAGGATCTTGAGATGGGAAGATTATTCTGGACTATCCGGGTGGGCTCTGTACAATCACTAGGTCCTTGTAAGAGGGAGGCAAAAGTGTCAGAGTCTGAAGGAGTTATGACAGCAGAGGCAGAGGTCAGAGAGATGTCATTGCTGGAAGGGGGTCACAAGCAAAGGAATGCAGGCAGCCTCTAAAAGCTGGGGAAGGCAAGAAAATAGATCCTCTCCTAGAACCTCCAGAAAGGACCTCAACCCTGCTGACATTTTGATTTTAGCCCTGTAAGACCAGTTTTTAGACTACTGACTGCAGAACTATAAGATAATAGACTTGTATTTGTTTTGCACTGAGCCATTAAGTTTGTGATAATTTGTAATATCAACAATAAAACACTAATACACTCATCATTAATATTCTTTATCATAAATAGAATCTGTGTTCCTATGTGAATGCAAAATAATAAACGGGAAGCCCTGGAGGAATAAATTGTCTTTGATACTCAAAATCACCTGGTTAGAAATTTCCCTGGTCATCAGCATTGTAGGGGTATTTCAGTCTGTTTATTCCTCAGTCTAATTTTCAAACTGAAGCCTGAAGAAGATAAATAATACACAACTGGAAAGCTGAAGCTCATCTGACTCCACAGTCTGCATTCTTCACCATTATATCATCTCACACTTCTAACAGCCTTGAAAAATCACTTTTCACAGTTTGTCCTATGAAATAGGACAAATATTCCCGTTTTGCTGATAGGAAGTTGAGACAGTTAAATATATGTATATACATTCCCAAATTAATAAGGACTAGAACTCTATATCCCAGTCCACTGTTCTTTCCACTAGATGTACACTTACTTCATTATTAGAATTCCCCAAATTGAGATGATATAACTCCTATTTAAAGTTTATTTTAAAGTAATTGTTTTCCCTTTTTGGTATCGCAAAGAGAAGAGAAAATTATCCACATCTCTTAGAAGCCCTCAGAAGTGCTTCCCTCTTAAGTGTTTGGCTTCCAGCTCTCGGAAAAATCAAGTTACATTTTCAGTTGTTATTCCAAGTGTCATGGACTTGAACATAGTGGTTTTTTTTGGGGGTTTTTTTTGTCTTTTTTCGTGTCCGGCAACGAACCGCAACCCTCGGTGCTGCGCCCGCCCCTCGCTCAGCCAGTGAGCGGGACCGGTCTGTATGTGGGATCCGAACCCTCGGCGAGAGCGCCACCGCACTTCCCAAGCAGCGCACTGTAGCAGTGCGCCACCGGGCCGGCCCTGAACATAGTGTTTTTAAAAATTTCCTGCCATATCTACTATTAAACGCCAAATTGTATAGGAAAACAACTTACTCGGATGCTATCTTTAGTCATAAGCATGAACTGTTTACTTTGTTTCCTCAACCCATTTAGACCCTTGTTTCTCAAAGTGGTCAGATACCAGCAGTTTTGGCATCACCCCAGACCTACCGATTCAGAATCTGCAGTTTAAGAAGGTTCCCAGCTGATTGTTATGCACCTTAAATCTTGAGAAGCATTGGTCTGGCCTATCTTCCAGATTCCCCATGAAAAAAACCCACAAGTGTGTTTTTGATTGCCAAGATACCTGAACTGTTGAGCAAAACCTCTTATTAGATTGATTAGAGAACAAATGGTTATATTTCATGAAACAAAATTTGAAAGCATGGGAGAAATTTTATCAAATTAATTCCCATTTACAAAACTGCCTTGAACTACAGTCTTGTGAAGAATTTGGAATTTACAGCTGCATAGTTTTTTTTTTTAAAGCTTATGAAGTATTTTCACATGTTCTCCTTTAATCCTTCCAACTCTGTGAGCTAGTTATTGTCTGTTTTCTAAAGATGAAAAGGCTAAGAAAGATGAAGATTTTCCAGTTACAAAACAGTAAGCCAGAGTGAGAACTGGAATCCAGACCCCAGGTCAGTGGACTCCAGGTCACTGTCTGCAGTCCAGGTCAAACTTTCCAACTTTTCAAAATCCAGCAGTTCCTATAAATGCCAGAACATAGACGATGAAAAACTAATGTTTGCATGTTCCCAAATTTATATGTTGAATCCTAATCACCAATGTGATAGTGATTAGGTGATTAGGAGGTGGGGCCTTTGGGAGTTGCCCTCATGACTGTTAGTGCCCTTATGAAAGAGGCCTCAGCGAGCTGCCTTTCTCTTCCACTGTGTGAGGACATCGCAAGAAAGCACCATCTATGCAGAACGAGTTCTCACTAGACACCAAACCTGCTGCCACCTTGATCTGGGACTCCCCAGCCTCCAGAATTGTAAGAAATAAATATTTGTCATTTATAAGCCACCCAGTTTATGATATTTTTGTTATAGCAGCCCAAACAGACTAAGACACATGTACACTTCTCTTTCTTTCCTCCTTCGTTCCCACCTTCTTCCTTTCTTTTATTTTCTTTGTTTTTACTTTTTCTTTTTCAACTGAAACATCTAAAAGCAAGTTGCAGATATCTTACTTTACCCCTAAACGCTTCAGTGTACATCTCCTAAGAATAAAGATATTCTTCTACAATACCATTATCACACCTAATAAAAATAATTCCACAATAATTTTCTCCAGTATTCCCACCACCTCCACCAAAAAAAAAAAAAAAAAGAATTCTTAAACTCTTTTACCATTTGTTCCATTTTTCTTCCTCCTTTCGCTTCCCTTATTTTCGATTAGTCATAAATTCTGGAATTCTCTGCCACTGGATTCTTTTTTCCTTCCCATGTTTTTCGCACTCCTTCCCTCTCTCTAAAGATACGTCTTCCAGAAAACCAACCTTGAGCAAAGTCAATATAACAGTACTCTGCCTTTCCTGATTGTCTTTGGAGAATTAGACATTCGTATTTTTTTAAAAACTTCTGTTTTAAATGCCAAAACCATACTATACTTTTCTTCCACATACTTAATTTTCTTTTTATGTCAAGCTGCAAAGCTCATGAGAAGGATCTATTTAAGAAGTCCTGGATAAAAAGAGACGCCAGGGCACTGTAAGTGATTGACTTATGGTACTAAGTGTCCCAAATGGAGCAAGCCTTCCACTAAATATTGACTTGTCTCTTGAATTGCTTATTTTTAGAGTGTCTCTGTCATATACTGTCACATTTACTGTGATTCCTTTCTATGATTGTCCATTACTGCTAATTGTAAATCAACCTCAGAAACATCTTCTATTTCCTTTCCTGTCTCCTTACTCCTAGTTATTTTTCCAAAGTTTTTGTACTTATTCTATATTTCTACACTTACCCATTTGGATCACTTTGTAATTGAAGACACTTAAGAGGATGTCTCCTTACTCACAAATGTTCCTTCTACTCATCTTGATTGGCTTTCTATTGTGCTTTGCATTCTTTCTGTGACATTCACCAGTCTTCTTGCCCTCCTGCTGGCACGTGCTAACCATCTCCCTCTCCTACGTGTGGAAGCTGTTACCCACATACTAAAACAGTTGCCTCCTATATTTAAATCATACTTATTTCATTGAATTCATTGTTCTTCCTTGGATAATTAGTCTATTTATAGCTTCAGATGGTGATTCCAGAAGCAAATGCAGAAATTTGTGTCCAAAGTAAGAAACACATAAAGAGAACCATGTGGGGACCTATCTGGCAGACCCAGGGAAATTTTTTAGGAATTGAAGGAGAGGTTAGGAAAGCAGTGGTACATTCCACGATTAAGTCAAGCTTAATGACCCTAAAATTTACTTTATCCAGAATTTCATCCATAATCAGCATCAAAGGCTCCTCTGAGCAGACAGAGCCTTGGAGCATGGTGTGCATGGAGAGCCTTCAAGTGCAGACCTCACTGAGCATTCAGGAAAGCACACTTTTGGCCCACCCACTGTATGTGAAGAGTGGGCAGAAACCTTTAGTTCAAACAATGGTCTTATTCAACAAATGAGAATCCATTCTGGAGTAAAATCTTATAAATGTGATGAATGTAGAAAATCTTTTTGTCAAAGAACATTCTTCAGTCAACACTGGAGACTTCACACAGGTGAGAAATATTTGTTGAAAAGTTTTTTAGTCAGAATGCAAGACTTTTGGGGCCGAGCCCGTCGCGCACTCGGGAGGGTGTGACGCTGGGAGCGCAGCAGCGCTCCCACCGCGGGTTCGGATCCTGTATAGGGATGACCGGTGCGCTCACAGCGCTCACTGGCTGAGGGCGGTGGGGCCGGTCTCAAAAAAGGAAAAAAAAAAAAAAAAAAAAAGAATGCAAGACTTTTTAACGAATCTTGAAAAACACCCTGGAGAGAAATGCTTTGGTTCTGAACAGTATAGTAAAAACTGTACTTATCAGTCTTTCTTGATTCAGCATCAGGTGGTTCATACTGTAGAGAAACCTTGTTAAGTGCCATGAGTGTGAGAAAACTTCTGTATACAACCCATTCCTCTTTTGACTGCAGGAGATCCACCACAGGGGAAAATGCTTTAAATGTACTGTTAGAAAGCCTTCGGTTAGAGAGCAGGCCTCTCTGAGCATCAGAGAATCCACTATGGGGAGAAACCCTGCAAACAGGAGGAGCATGGGCAACTCACCAATCAGAGGGCATCCACATGGAGAATTAGAATGCTCGCTCAGAGGAGAAACAAGCAGCCCAGTAGAAAAGTGTGAGTCACAATGCAGGTCTTGTTGAAAATGGGTTTCTGAAGGAGAATCTCTGTAAACAGAATGAGGTTGAGACCACAGCCCCAGTAAAAGTCTTGTCAAACATCAGAACACAGACCTCTCTAGGGAAAAATACTTTGAAGGTAATGATTGTGGGAAGCCCCTGAAACCTCGCTAATCCCACCCACTTGCCACATATAAACTTCTTTCTGCAGCTCCAGCTTGCTGTTACTCTGTCCCCGGGTTCAACTTTCTGAGTGGCCCTGCATGGCAGTCTTCTCTCATTTGGAGCTGTAAGTAACAAAAAGTTTTTCTTTACACCTTTTCAAGTATCAGTATGTTGTGTCCCTCCATCAAAAGAATCTTTAAATCCTATAAAACAGTCACCCACTTATTAAGTGCCATAAGCGAGATTCACACCCGGATCTCAATCTCTTAGATTCAGGCTCTTTCACTTAAATTGGTGCTCTGCCTCTGCAGCCCAAGGACTCTCTTCTTATGTTAGCAAAATCAGCAATGGTTGTAGCACCCGACAGTATTTCTTTTAATGGTGGTGGAGGATATAGGTTATCTCCTTCCCCCACTTTTCTCCCTTTCTCTTTTCCTTTATTTATCTTCATACTCTGAACGCTTTAATAAGATTCTAGAAGGAACTCAGTCTTCAAAGTGGAATCATTTCCTATAGGGCCTCCAGATAGTCACATAAAAATATTAGTTTTATGAAAAGATCGGAGTCTGTATTCAAAAAGAAATGAACCTATATATATGGCAGATGTTGTAAATGAGCCATGAGACCTTAGTAATCTGTGAATCTAAAACCTGATGAAGGACCCATAACTCAATAACAATTAGCCCTCCCAAANCCTTTCTCTTTTCCTTTATTTATCT